CTTTTATATATGTATGGGATGTAAAGGGATAGACTGCAGAAGGTCCCAGAATAGAATCTCGGTTGAACTTTTTTCACACTCGCAGATTCCTCTTGCTTATGAGAAGAGGGGATATCATATTGATCTCTGTTGATTGTCATGCATCAAGGTGTAGTTCTGCCCAAATACGCATGCGCATAGTGCGAGGAATGGCCCAGTTGGTTAAGGCGTGTGTCTGCGTAGACCGCAGAAGGTCGCGGGTATTTATGAGCCCTCAAGTTGTGTGAAGGGAGCGAGACTAGTGGTCTTAGATCCGTAATAATATCGTAGAGCCTCTGTGGTCTAAACGGTAAGACGCTCGCCAGGATAGCGAGAGAAAACTTCTTTTTTTTTTTTCTTTTTTTATTCTCGTTAATGTGTTGTTAAATGTCTAGGGCACATCCATCACAAGCTCTGCTTTTCGGAATTGTGTCCCCTACAATACTTATCTTATTTATTTGTTTTTTCATTTCAAAGAAGATTGTAATTCACGTTTTAAGGGAAATAAATGTTATTTTGAACTTGAACTTGAACTTTCTTTAAAGAAATATGTTTGACACGATTTATAACACCATATTCCTATATATTTTATTTAGCACTATATATATATAATTTATACATATAGTATGTTTAATATATAGTAACAAAACTTTTATTTTTATTCAGATATAGTGAAGATACTTCTCGATAACAATATTCAATTAGGAGACTCGTTACTGAAGGCGGTTGATGAGCAGTTTATTGAAGGTGTCAAACTTATATGCGAACATAGTAAATCGAAGAACATCCCAGTAAGTTTCAATCAATCATTTAATCAATCGGTCACAGTCAACCAACCAATCAATCAATTAGTAAATTAATGTAAATTAATCGATTATACTATACCTCATATATATTAAACATCAAACCGTATATCTACATTAGCCATTTCGATCTGTGATGGTAAAATTACACAATGTGCATACGGTACACGCAGGCAGGGTTACGGTAGTCGATTTTATAAGTAGTATATTTTTTCCGCGTACTCGTAAATTTGGCCCACGCAGGGAAGAAGCTACACTTTATTGTCCAACGAAATGTTGTTATTACCTAATTAATATTGATGAGGTATAGAAATACGCCTCATCATCTCTATGGCTGAAAAAACCCATAACCCAAAAGCAAAGTAGAATTAGGAATAAAAAATCAAACATAAGGTAAAAAAGTTCAATACAGTATAGTATTATATAGTTCGAAGGTCTAACTGCGTCAATATGTGAACCTACTACGCTTGATATATATAGGCCTATACCGACTACTGTAAAAAAAAATAGTAATAGTGTTTGTTCTAATATCACTCGAAATAAATTTCTGTTTTTGAGTAAAGATTCTCTTTCACAATATTTTTTACGATTGGCAGCGCAACCAATTCATCTTTGATAATTGTTTATGATATTCATATTTTGAATAAAACGTTTCAGAACACCCCCCCCCCACACACACACACACATATATATATATATATATATATATATATATATATATACTTATATATATATGTATACTATATATATGCTTATATATATATATATATCTAGTTGAATGTTCAGTTACTAGCAAAAATTTATTAAATAGTATGTACTTATATATACATATTTATAGATCACTATCACATAATTACTGTATAACCAATGCTATCTAGTTGAATGTTCAGTTACTATCAAAAATGTATTAAATAGTATGTTTTCAGTGTTTTGTTTTAATACATTTATAATTGTATAAATTTGTTATGAACAATTTCTGGACCTTATCTACTTTCATTTTCTAGATATTCTGGATCACTGTTACGCTTAAGTACCCCAATATCAGCCTTTCTTTGTCCTTAACATGAATAATCATTCAACTCTTTGGCACTGCCTACCCTATTAACGTTAATGAACGTAAATCTATAGGCATTGCTCTTAATTGTGTAAATTTCAATAACGGTAGCCATTATATCCCTGACATCATCCCCACTTGACAATTTTTTTTGTGCTCTGTTGCGCTCCAAATTACTTTTCTTTGTGGGTTAATATTGCCTTAAAATCTGAAATCATATCTATTTATAAATCTCTTGCAATTTTTTTGTAAATTTTCTGATTGAAATATTGTAACCGTACAACAGATAGGCCTATATTATAATCATATTTGTATCGGGTGACCCTTCTATCCTAGAAAATGGGTTTATAGGGACATTTTAAGTATATCTGACTAGTAAAGTTTATTATTTGCAACTTAAAATACGAATATTTCGTCCATTCATGGACTTCATCAGCGTAAGTGATCATTTGTGCTGATGAAGTTCACCAAAGTGGACGACATATTCGTGATCTAATATATTATTTACCGAAGATACGTCAATCTGACTTATTTTTATCATGGTCATCGCTTTTACAGTTATAGGCCTATGAAAAGAACAAGTGTTCCCTCTTACGCAATGAAATGGCTTTATTCATACTTCGATTATTCAGTATTATTTTATTGTCATTTGTAAACATAAAATTTACATTGAAATAGCATTACGGCTTTAGTAAAGAATATCATATATTATGGTATGGCTAGTCGAATGGCCGAGCGGGTAGCATTTTTTTTAATCGTAGGATGGCATCTCACCTAGCCCACTGTTCTAACCATTCTTGCCTGACCTTTCACGATCTGGCTTTTTTCTAAAAAAAAGCTCACTCGACACTGAGAAAGGACTAGTGTTGTCAGCTCTCGTTGTATTTCTGGCTGTTTACTAACGTTTTAAATTTTTAAGTGAAAATACATTAATAATGGCATCCAAAATGCTGAACAATTATGCTAATAAAATCAATAGCAATCATGCAAATTTCTAAATTGAAAAAAAATGAAAACATCAGACTACACAGGCTTAAACAAGACTATATGTTTGTACGTACGTGCAAAAGTAACACGACATCGTACCGCCCATACCAGGCACATACATGATGCACTATACCGTAAGACTAAGTTTTATATTTGTTTCTCTCATTTACAGGAAGCTCTTGAATGTCGCTCTCAAGATGGCGACTTCCATCCAGACATTACTCCACTGATTCTAGCTGCGCACCATAACAATTTTGATATCATCAAGATTCTGTTAGAGTTTGGTGCCAACAAAATAGATGCCAAACAATTTGGTGAGTCTGAAAACAGCCACACCCTGCAACATTCTGTCGGTATGCTGAACAATTATAAAGCAATGGCCAGTCAGGCTTACATATCACTAACTGCTGAGGACCCATTTAACACTGCATTTGAGCTTTGCGGAAAGTTGCGGCAGTTAAGTGTTAAGCAATACGAATTCAGTGATCAGTTTATTGAGTTGGCAGATCAGTGTGAGACCTACGCCGCTGATCTTCTTAATCAAATCCGAGATTCAGACGAACAGATGTACATTCTCAATCACGATTCTTACGGTTGGGGAACACAATCCGAAGATCTTACTGTCAGTCAACCCAATAGAGTTAAAGTTGCAATTCATTTCGAGCAAAGAAAGGTTTGTATTTCTTGATCAAGTCATTATGATTGTCATTGTTGTATTAAACATTAAGAGTCATTACATTTAGGAGCCATGTGCTTTGGTAAACCTACATTCACAAAAAGTGATGTCCAGAAAGGTATACTGTAAGTCTACATAATCATAGGATAACTAGGCCTATTAGGTAATTACGAGAGCTTAAAAGGGCCTTTTTCTAAAATTATAATTTGAATATACGTTATAAAAATTTAAGCTATTTTTACATTCATATTTCATCAGTAATCTCATATGTGAACACAGATCGAACCATTTCAGATTTTGTCCACTTAAATAAATTTTTAGGACCCAAAAAAATATGTATGCGTCTATTTTGGTCTTGTTAAGATTTAATGAATTACTTCAACATAAGCCCAAAAAGTAAGCAGTTTTAACAATTATTAATCAGTTTTAATAATACATTTTGATCTTAGGAATTAAAGTTTAACACAGATTCTAAGACTGAATAGTTTCTGGTTATGTTAACATTAGTGCACGTTTTTTATATTGTTTCTTTTTTGTCCGTTTATCCTGACAGTTCGTTGCTCATCCTCATTGCCAGCAACGTTTGATTGAGATGTGGTTCCATGGTCTTAAAGGCTGGAGAGATCAAAGCAGTCTCCGCTCCACTCTCCTTACTATCCTAATGGCGGTTTCATATCCGCTGCTATCAGTGGCCTATATGCTGTATCCTAAAGGCAAACTAGGAAAACTCATAAAAATACCGTACGTAAAGTTTCTTTGCCACACAGCGTCGCAGTTAAGTTTCTTGCTGGTACTTCTCTGGCAGACTTTGACACAGAACAAGATAAAGTCAGAGGATGAAGAACAACGAAAACAAGAAAGTAAATACGAAGCTATATGTATGGTCTGCATCGTCCTGTGGGTTGCAGGTACGTATCGTGCAGCACCTTTAACAAAAATTGAATAATGGTCAACCGAAGTTGAAACACACACACTACGTTTTACATTGCCGATATAAATACGACAGAGGTAGGATTGTTCTTATGCATGGCCAGTTTAACGGTTGGGAAATTTTGTAGTAGCTCGGTCAAAAAAGACTGAATATTCCTTCGCTTGTGTAAAGAGAATGCTATGCAAGTACGTTTGTAGGTCGACTTGTCGACGTGAGTCACTTAAAATAATTAGTATAGTATCTTGATTAAAATTATTAATTAAACTTGACATTATTGATTAATGAGGGTTGTCACGCGATATAAATGAGAATAAATATTTTACTCTTGATAACTGTAGGTATGACGTGGCAGAAATGCAAGGAACTATGGTTAACTGGTACAAGATTCTTCCATAACTTGTGGAATATGTTCGATTTCGTCACGCTGGCACTGTACTGGAGTGTGATTGTACTATATGTAACGGTGTATATTCACGGAGACAGGCACATTGAAGAAGTAATTTATTCTTGAATATTTAATAGTTTTACTTCCGGTCAGCAGAAACAGTAGTAGGGATATGATTGAAAGCACGCTGATGAAACTGATAAAATTTTATAAAAATTAAAAATTGTATGTCATTAAAACAAAATTTATATTATAGTAAATTAATTAAAATTAAACTATTAACTTAAGATTTGTTTAAATCAATGTAACCGACAAATAGCATTTGGTACCAAAATAAGTAGGCCTACTAGATACTAAACATCAATTACTTGGTGCCAAACCAGGAATCATCGTACCAATCTTTAGCAATGTAATGCAATATGCCAAGTGGCACGTCACATAGATGCTAAGTGATACTGTTCTTTGATATAAATAATTAAACAATAAATAATTTTTAACCAATTTCTAAAGTAAATTTAAAATACTTAATGAATTACACTTATTCGAAAAACACAACTTCACTTAGAAAAAGTAGACAAAATAGACAAAGTAAATAATTAAAAATCAATATAGGCCTACAGATTATTGCTAAAAGATTAGTTTAGCAAATATCAATTACTAAGACCATCAATAACACTTTCAACATATTTTTTAAAAAAAAATATCGTATTTAATAAAAAGTACAAAAAGATGTTAATTGTATAAATGAATAATTAATAACTAAAAAAGCTGAAATACAAAAAAAGTACAAAAAGATGTTAATTGTATAAATGAATAATTAATAACTAAAGCTGAAATACAAGAAAAATCGAAATTAATTATTATACGTACTATAAGCTTTGTAGTCAAATGTGGTCTTTGATTTTTAAATATCAGTCACGAAGTATTTCAAAGGAGAGCTACAATATTTCTAGTGTATGATAGTGTTTTTATTTTAGATAATTCAAAGCTAGAATTTGTATCTTCAAATTTTGTTTAAAAAAATATAGCCTTTCTATTAGTTAAAATGTTAAAACTAGCATAGTAGTTGTGTCTTTGCTATTTATGTGTACTGTAGAATTTAGAGTGTGTCGTGATAGAGTGCTATAAATGTGTGTTCCGAGAGACTTACGACAAGTTAAAATGGATTGGTTGAAAATGTTGATATCCATAGACGTGCGCCTGAATGTTTGTACAGTAGTAAATTAAGATTAATGCCAATAGTCTGTTAGTCATTCAAAGCATGCTCAAAATCAGTGTTAATATAGGGTTTTTTTCAGGGCTAGTCTTATAATGATTGGATATTAATGGTGTTATCAACTAATAGTTAAACAGATTGGTTGGCCAACAACTGTGAAACTTGTATTTATTTGGTTATAGGGAACTGCGGATGATGGTATACTGAGCCGGGGAAGTAGAGCAGAAACGTCAACATTAGGCACCCCGAACAATTCCAGTATCAGCCCGTTCGATGTAGGTGCCCCAGGCATTCAAGTGATAGTGTCGCAACTTGACATGATGTTTCAACAACTAACTGACATGCAAACGGTGCAGAACGATCTTGCCCATTCTATGAATCAGTCATTAGATAAACTTAATGAGGATCTCACAAAGCACATGTCTGGTTCCAATTCATACTCTATTGGTAAAGAACGACAACACATGGAAGAGTATGATCCCCGTCTTGTCGGCGAAGCCCTCTTTGCTCTTGCAAAAACATTTAGTTTTCTGCGCATGATCTGTCTGACAGTGGTCAGTCGCTGGGTTGGACCTATGCAGATTTCTCTAGGAGGCATGATGTTTGATATATTTAAGTTTTTGTTTATTTTCTCTTTCGTATGGTTTGCATTTTCTTTGGGAATGAATCAAATTTACTGGTATTATTCAACTACCTCCACAATGCCATTTGGAACGTAAGTATACGTCACAAATTTTCAGAATTCTGATACCATTATCTGCCTTAGGTAGCTTTCTTGTTATGCATGACGTCTTTTTCGAATGATCACACTGTTATATCGTTTAGTTATTAGAAATCCAATGAAAAATATTTGTCAATTAAAATTTTATTTGAAAATTAAAATTTGGTGATGTTTCAATTTTTTTTAAACATATCTATGGATAATGCTGCTCTGTATCCCCTACTGCCAAGTCTATATAATCATTTTGGTTTTACTAAAACAATATCAATTAGGTGTTTCACATAACGTGGTAATTAATAATTTCTATTGGTTATAGTTGTACTAGTAATGATACAAAAATAATGATAATAGGCCTACATTTCATAATAATCAAAATGGGGGTGGTGGAGAGAGCCTTGAGTTGACTGTTCCTCGCTGTTCTGTTAGCCTCATAATTAGCCCAATAAAAGTTGTAACTTTTAACTACATAAATATTATACAAGGAATATTTGTTTCATTTACTCTACATGATGAATCGTATTCTCTTGACATCTAAAGTACCATAAACCAAATGTTGGGAAACACATTGAATGACTGTTGAAACTGTCATCACTTGTAACTAATGCAATACTCTTTTTTATTAATTACCTTCTGCTATAATGTTTTGATTTCACTTGTGTAATTCCCTTTACCGTTTCAGTGTAACAGATACCATGGCGACGTTGTTTTGGGCACTGTTTGGTCTGCCTGATCTTAAAATTATTAGTTTACCAGATAAAGAAGTAAAACATCCCTTTACAGAAACAGTAGGATCATTGTTATACGCTACCTACCACGTGATTGCTATTGTTGTCCTGATGAATGTTCTCATCGCTATGATGAGCAACACATACACAAGAGTTGAGGTATTGTACACAAATTACAATTTCTATAAAGCATTGCAATAATATAAATCGCATAATAATAATAAAAATAATAATAATAACAATAATGATAATATTAAGATGATGAAGATGGCGGTGATGATGTTAAAGATAATTAAAATGATGATGATAATAATAATAATAATAATAATTAGTATTATTATTATTATTATTATAATGGTGATGAATTAATTAATTTTTTTTCGGATTAGCAAATACGTGCATGCAATAGGTTTACAAACAAAACCAACTAAAATGTCACACATGCTGGCCCGGGGAACTCCAACAGCCACCACTTCGAAGAGACGTCCTAACCAGTATTGACACATAAATTTAAAAAAAATAATTGTTCATTAAGTTGTTAAAATATTCAATAATTTTCAATACTTTTTTATATATAAATCTTCTACGTTTATTTAACAATTTTCTCAAATTAATTACACACAGGTCTTGTATATCTGATGGAATTAAATCCCAGACCCTTGGGAATCATATAAATATAATATTTAAGAAAAAAACATTAGTGGAATATTTTAAGAGATCATAGTTTCTGTGGCTTGATGACGATAATAATACTTCATCTTAGAATTACTTAATTGGTATACTAAATTACTAGCCTAATGATAATTCAACAAGCACAGATAATTGAAAGTGGACAAACAAAACAACTTACATGTTGAACGGTATTCCGAAAACCTCATAAATATGATTTACACATCACATTTCTGCTCGATTCGAGGAAACTTGATACACAATTAGATATTTGAAATCAAAAAGGTCAATTGATAATATGAAACTCATTTTCGATATGTGATATAGATGGACGCAGACATTGAATGGAAATTCTCACGTTCGAAACTTTGGATGAGCTACTTTGATGAGCTTGGTACCATTGCTCCTCCCTTCAACATCATTCCGACTGTCAAATCAATCAAGAGGGTAGTTATGTGGTTTTGTGGAAATGTTTGCTGTCGTGATGACGTGAAAAAACAGTACAAGGTGTGTATGTTCGTTTGGTAAGGTGAAGATGACAATGATGATAGTATTGACGATGAAACTAAACTTATATTTTGTCACATTTGTTAAGGCCTTTGTTCTACTAATATTTTTTGTGTTCCTAATATCAATTAGTATTATTAGGACGTCGTAATTTCAACCTTAAAGTTGCACATGCTGCCCTTCTCAATAATTTGATGCTCTGTTGTACGACCTTCTCAAAGCCCTGTAATATAAGTTCCGTTTAAGTTCCATACAGGATGTGCGATGCAGGAGACATGATATATATAATTTTATATATTCTATAAATATTTTATTGATTATTATGACAATTTTACACTTACTAAAAATAAAGGTGTTTTTGATTGGACTTCATTCCGTATATCCATGCAACGTAAATTTAAACAGATTTTTGTTTGCTTAATCTCAAAACAAGTGTTAACAAAATGCCGAGCCTGCAATTGTGAAGAAACTGAGATGGAGTGAGTGTTTAAACATGATTTACAATGAAATATGTGCTCAAAATTACATAGTTGTTTTAAGTTTTGCGGTGCATTAAGAGCTTTGCGACCCTATTCACTCCACTTGGGTTTACCCCTAAAATGTTTTCATACTATTTAATATTCTATTTAAATAATGTTGATGTATTAACTAGCAATAATAATCTAAAAAATAAGTACATTTAAGTGTACCAATGATAAGGTAATGTTTCGATTGATTGGATGTTGTAAATTGTATTTTCTTACAAACCACATAGGCCTATCTGTAAAAAAATTCTGTTAAAATTGTTGCAATATCTGAATTTAAAAGACGAACTCAGGGAACACAGTCTGAACCATGAAGGTTATAAGAGTGAGCTATAGTGTCCGTGTTTCGTCATTCATTAATTTCAATTCTATGCGCTTCTCATTCATCAATTGAACCAATTCAGTACAGTCTCATAGAACACTGATCGGCTTTTACTCTATTTGAGAATTTGTGTTTATTTAATTTTGACATTGATGAACTTGTTAGTTGAATAGTTCAGAGTACAACTTAGATCAAGACTTACTAACATGAGAATGCCGGGTAAGCTATTGTCTGTTATGACCACAGGCAAGTACATCATGACTTGGTTAATGAATGGGAATTAGAAATAATGAGATTAATCTTGTTATTTTAAGTTTATTAAAGACCTGCCACATTTTTATATCGCATCAGCCACACATAGCAGTTACATTATTAGCTTTTGCTGAAGTAAATTATGATTAACATTATACTTTCTCCACATCTACCGGTCGTTAAATCGGTATTATCATAACATCATCGACTTAAGTCAATCAATTAAATTACTTGAATAGTGCTTCTAAACCTATTTATTTCTCAACAAAATACATAGAGTGATGCAACACCTCTCCAATGTTTTTTTTTTTGGGGGGGGGTTGTAGAAGGGCTAGTACAACTTTCTGTCTTGAACAAATTTGATATAATATCATTTTTTTAGGCATAATCATTATTAAGGAATGATGACATAAGACATATACATAGGTTTTACCACCACCCTGTGGCTTCTGCAGTATGGTACGGTAGACGTGGACACCATGAAAGACAATATTTTTACTACTGTATTATTATATGAAAATTAGGACTAAATTTATGCTATCATTAAGTTTATGCAGTATAGGCCTACTGAATTCGTGATTATTTATGAGGTAACCATTTCTGGCCATGTATTTTTTGTAGAATTAAGTTTATTGTGCATAAACACACATTTATAAGTCAAATATTTACTCGATGGCTCTATGTAATATTTGGTGTGATTTTTAAAAAATCTTACATTGAGCTAACATAGAATTGTGATGAAAATAATCATGATTACCAACTGAAGACGCTTAACTCAATTGGCCTAGGCTGTACGGTACCGTGTCGACGAACTGATTTGTTTTAATTTAATACGCCCGTGTTCTCAAAACAAACTATAGTCCAACTTCAAAACAAAGCTAATCATAATTGCAACGTCAGCTTAAAATTATATTCATAAAACTTGGTCGAAGTTCTAATTACGACTAAATCAGTCCTAATTACATCGTAGCTGAAGACGGCTGACTAGCAGCGGCTACCAAACTAACAATTGAAAACCACTTAAATTAGCAGACGAAATTTTAGTGATCCTGTAACGCCCGGACGAATAATAATCTTCCGTCCCTCGTTTGAAAACATATTTCTTCATAATTTATAATTAAATCACCATTGGTTTAATTAATTTTATATAATAATAACTATATTAGTCTTTAATATATAATGATGGATAATTCAAACAGTCACTGAAAATTTGCTTTCTTTTGGAGAACCGTATCAGCTGAACTCTCGAAAGGGTGGGGGGGGGGCGCCATCGTGTTGTTCTTGTTACAATACAGCTACGTGAAGCAACGCGATGATTTTTTTTGCAAACAGGAACTATCGCATGTGGCTAGGAAACACATGTTACTTTCACACTTTTATTGAACAAACCGAAAATACATCATACCTATTGTATACAATCGTTTTTTATTATTTTTGTTCTATCGTGATTTACAAAAAAAAAGCAAGTTTTTTGTAGGGTACTAAATATTTAAAGTCGGCGATTTAGTCTGACCCTTACGCCGCGCTTAAAAATTATCATGAGGGGGTAACAATATTAGTCTAGGTGGTCATGATTTAGTCGTATTTCTATTCGAATTTCGTTTTAAAAATGCGAAATGACGTAATTTTGAAGTCTTAACTCGAACGACTAATGTTACCGGTAGTTTTTATATTGGATACCGGGATTAGGCTCACAGGTAATTGTGAACAATATAGGTTTACTGTAACTAAGACCGTTTGATAACACATGCCTTTGATTCTATAGACCGCGGTTTTTGAGATTTAAAAAATACCACCTTCTTATGTTTTCAAGTATGTAAATAAATTTTCATTTTGTGTAAATGTATTGTTCTTACGATTATATACAATTATTTCCACAGATGAAGTTGAAAACAATATTAGAAGAACGCCAAGCAAGATTTAAGGTAATACATAAATATCTCTTCTCGCCTTTCTGTTCTACTTTAGGTAGGTTTGTTTAACAATACCAAACAATTGGCTTAAATACTGCCTACAATAGAACTCTATTTTTACATAGGAAGTTTTACCGTATTATATAGTAATACTTTACATTGTGATATTTATAAATTAGTAAAGTTTTAAACAACGGAGGTCTTTTATTTTTATTAACAATAATAAAAAACAATAAACAAAAAACTACAAGGTTAATAATAGTCATTTTTGCATTTATCTCATTAGGAGGTATCTTTAAATCTGGTGAAGCGATACCAGTTCGAAAAGCGACACCAAGAAGACGATGATGATGAAGCTAATATTTTGAACGAGCTTAAACAAGATATATCAGGTTTTAAATACGATATGTTCGAAGCCCTCAATGAAATGGACAAGAAGATCAAACAAGTCGATGCCAAAGTTAATAACAAGGAGATTGATGACGATGACATTGGCCTTGGGGGAGAAATGTTCAAGGCCTTGAAATCAGCAGTGAAGGAAGAGGAAATATATGATTCTATTGAATCGTTAAATTCGGGTTGTTCAGGTCAGATGTTGGACATGAAATCTAAGCCTAATAACCCTGACTGGTTCGTAGAGGAAGATGATATGGATATGTCGACAGCAAAAACTCCCATTAGGGAGAAACAGACAGACAGCACAAAACGGGAACAACCGGGATTGGCAGGGCAGTTTCAGTATATTGACGATGAAGATGTTCTTGGTCTTCATCGAAACACTAGTGTCTGATTTCCTAATCAACATAATTATGTAAAGGACACTGAAAATGCTTCAACCCAATTTTCTGAACAATACAGTTGCACCTCATTTAGTTGATTTACTCTCCAACATTATGAATAACAATTACAGGTTCATGTGACATCATGGCAGTATCAGCGTTTTCTCGGGCTATCGCAAGAACTGTTATTTCTGCATGGTGTTTTAATCCAGCGGGTTTCTTCTTTTTTTTTTAAATATTCCCACTGTGGTATGATAATCTTTATTGCATCATAAAACACGATATGCCTACTAATCCTCAAGCGGGTAGGCCTAGGCTAAAGTGACGCAGTTAGCCCTCGCTGCATACCACTTGCCTCATAAAGTAGACAGCTTATATCGTAGAAAGTAGAAATTACACCAGAACGTTTGCTAGTTTAGTGATCTTTTTAAGAAGTGTGATTGAAATGATATCAGGGATAATGTTACTTTTTTTTACTACTCAGTGTACGTAACTACTGGGAGTAAACGAACTGTTCGTATGTATTGAACATAAACGAGTAAAGAAGGCTTAGCTTTCTGTTTCAATACCATTGATATTTTTAAGGAGTTAATTAATGTCGTCATGTCAGTAATTACTAAGGCCTGAATGGTAAAACATTAGCAAATATATAATACCTCCCCTAAATATGGACGGACGGTTTAGCAACTACGATCATCATCACTACCACAATCGTTGTTGGTATGCCCTCCTCCGAGAAAAGGCATTAAGTACATTTTTATCAAAGTTGAATTGTTTGGCTTATGTGACTCTTGGATGTATAATCTATCGCCTTAGTCTGGAAATATGAATTTTTATTTTAAAATTGGGCATTATCTGCAAATTTCACTACAAATACTCCAAGAAAAGGCATTTTGTGCTTGATTTCACGCAAGATAGATATTAATTAGCCAATCAGATGCCAGTATAATGAATATCTAATTAACTAGCTTGGAATCATCAACAGAATGCCTAGTTAGTAATTGCTTTATTGCGAAGGATACTGTGTACTTTGTCGAAATGGCGGCAAGTTACAGCGCAAGTCTTTTGGAGGAGTAAATACAATATTAACTATTTTATTCTGTTTGTGTACCTATTAAGTAGTAAATTTAAATATTATTATTATTTAGTAGTATTATTTTTAGTTTTATCGACATGGTATGTTTTGTTTCACTTATTACTTCATGGACATAATGAGTGCCACTGTTGCAAAAGTGTTGATCCAAATTAAGATTATTATAACTTAATAAATATAAATATAATTTTTATTAAAAATTAGCACAATATGTCTACATAGATTTGTTTTAGTTATATTTGAATTGGTTAGTTATCAATAAACTTTGACATAGACATTTATAATGCTTTGTCTATGATGATGATCACCATCGATAATGATAAGGATGACGATGATGAGGAGGAATAGGAGGACGAGGAGGAAGAAGAGATAAAAAATATGATGATAGGCTAGTTACCAAACCACAAATAAAATATTTTGATAAACCTAAAATTCTAAGAACAGTGCAAGCTAGCCTACGCTTACCCCACACAGCACCGGCTCCTCCCCCATAATGATCCAACCCCTCACCCACACCATAACTTCCTCATACACACAATTATATCCAGCATTTTATAATGTCAGCATATACTATCCTCCTAATTTTTGCACTCAATCTATGGATTTCATACATACACTTCGGTTTTAAAACATTGAATAAAAGATTTCGTGGTTTTCAACTATTTGAATATTTTTAAAATATTAATTTTTTTTGTGGGGGGGCAACATTTTTTTAAAAATATCATGTTTTAAATTACAGTAATAGATTAGATTTCATATACATTTCAATAAATAAATTATTCATGTATGTTTATAAATATTTTTGCAGATAATGCCCGATTTCATAGTCATAAATAGGCCTACTCCGAAAAAAGGCATTATCTTCATTTTGACCCCTTAATAAAAAAAAATTATTGATTAAAAGTATGTGGCGAAATTTTTTAATAATATATCTAAACAAACCATGGTTTTAAAAAATTGAAATCATTTGTACTTTTCTTGGGAAAAACTCGAACGCGTTTTGCTCTTTTACTCAAAACTATGATTTTGTTACTTAATGCCTTTTCTCAGAGGAGGATTTTTCTCAGAGGATGATTAACATCATCATTGTCATTATTATTGTTTTGAAATACGTTTAAATTGTTGTTCTCCAAACCGATTTGCTGTAGTTTATGAAAATCGGTCTACAGTATTAGTAGGCCTACTTTATTGCTAGGTTTACACAACAAGAGATTGTTGTAAAAGGATTCACAATATTTCCATTTAACTGAAGTCAGCTTTTCATGATCTTTGTTACAATACATCTAAAAACTTATTCCGTTGTTGTTGATCAATTATTGAATGTGGATGTAAAAGTATATGTTGTTTATTAACCAGATATAGGCCTAGCTGTAAACGGAGTGAATGTATTATTTACTCATCTATGCCGTCAATGCGTAAAAATCGTACAATATTACGATATTAATACACAGTGACGAAATAGTACAAACTAAGCAAAATTGCTACTCTTCACTCCAGTACCATTCAACGTTGCTGGAATAAAATGGTAATTGATATCTTGTACAGATGTAACGATGTCTAATTATTTCCATGACATATTAAAATGTTATTAAATCCAGCTGTTCTTCGAAATTCTTACATTAGCGTAGTCGTCAATTTCAGAACATTGTACTGTACATAGATTGAGCCTATATTATTTGATATATGTACCGGTATATATAAGACTTTTTAAAATTTAATTGTTATTATTATTATTATTATTATTATTATTATTATTATTATTATTATTATTATTATTATTATTATTATTATTGATGGAAATGTTTTGTGCCCTTTTCGGTAGTAGCTTAAGGTTTCGTCAATTGTTTTCTAGTTTGTCTTATTACAAAAATGTTACAATTTTCTGCAGGATCATATAAATGTTATTCAATTATATTATAAATAGGGCTATCACTAGCAAATGGTGTTCTATAGTGTCGTGGTTGATTTTTAGAATATTAAATTTATCATTACATAATTAAGTCCCTGTAATAAACCAGACTCTTAATATTTGTAAGTAATATGCTGTCGAATGTATTACATAAACACTCCATTTTATTGGTCTTCTTTCATCATTGAATATATTGATACTATGTTTTGTAATGCATTTATTAAATATTGTATTTGTACAATACAATCTAATTACTGTATTCTGCTAGTTAGTGTTACAGCGTTCCACTTGTTAAGTCGAATGGGAGGATTTTAGTGTTGGAGGAAGTCTTCTGTTTTATACCATAGTCCTGTGACTACAATAAGGCCTGCTTGGTTTTTTCATGAATAATGAAATACACAATTAGCCGTACAAGTTTGTAGAATAATCAGTAAATGAAACAGGCAGTGGGCGGCGGGTCAAGTTTACCTTAGAAATTTCTTGACAATTGTATAACAACACCTGCTTTATTGTACACAGCTGTGTACTTGTGTAGGTGATTGTCCGAAACTCCAATAATGTGAACTGATAAAATGCTTCATTATTTTTTCCATCTAATATCTTCCATCACATATTCTATGACTTCGTTTGACAATCTTATAACGGTTACTTTTCTGGAGTATAATTGTAAATACAAAACTTCCAAAGATGTGGCGATGGCAACGTAATTAAAGCATAAAATGAATGTGGTTGTTTATTTAATATTGATCTTGATATTTCTGTGCTGAATTACCACCAGTTGCGTTCACTTACTGATTACAGTATTATTATTACTACTATTATTATTATTTCTATTATATTATTATTATTATTATTATTATTATTATTATTATTAGCAGCAGCAGCAGTATTGCCTTTTTCATGCATTCGTAAGTGGAGAGAACGAGAAGATTTAGGTATACCAACAACGGTAGAGAAACCGAGACAGAGAGGAAATGAGAGAAAATGGAAATATTGTAGTAACTAAGCTGTAAAATTGTTTTAAAATGTTTAACGATGTGGTTGTGAAATGTTTGTAAATCTTGTTTGACAACCTTATGCGAACCATACATAAAAATATAATATACTGTAATTATTATATACTTTTAGAGGATGCATACAGTAAGCAAACGAAAACGTGTTTAACTGAATATCCAGATGACACTTATATTACGACTTGCAAGATACATGTACCAAACACTTGTTGCAGCGAATAGTGTAAAACATTTTACAGATTTCCACGTTCACCTGGGCAAGCCAGTTGAGCTTCAGAATCGATAGCACTCACATTTGTTCAAAAGATTCCAATCACCTTATCTTTAGCAATGTTAATTTAATTTTAAAATTTTAGACGTTCTCTTATAGAAATTCCGTAAATTGTAGCTAAAATCATGAAACTAGAAATTGATACAGATTTCCAATATACGGCAAGATTAAGTGTAGGCCTACATTCACTAACACACCACATTATAGGCTTTTATTATCGCTAAGTACAGATAAAGTGTGTTTAGAGTAGTGTCATGGCAGTTAGGCTTATTGTTTGCTTGACTTGGTTTTGATAGAATCATAACGGCTATTGATTCCACACTAATTACGGTACTCGGCATAATAACATTTTAACATTTGTAATATTAGTTTGATGTTTAAAACAAAATGTCACAATATTAAATAAGTATATATAACCGGATACACTGTTAATAACAGTATGTTAAATATCCTTTATAACTAACCATGTTGTTTATCGATATTGATACAAGAATCTATCTGAATTATAATCTTAAATATAATAACATAACAATTCCGGCAATATTTTTAAAAAATTAAAGTAGTTTGCTAGTCAAGGTCCTAATAATCATCGTTAAAATAATTTATAGTGATTTTCTTGCCTTTAATTTTTTTTATTGCGTAAGTATCAATGATTGACCTTTTAACAATTAAAATGGTTTTCTAAGTTTGCAATGACGTCCAATATAATGAGTGAGTGTCTAGGCGTTAGGAACAAACATAAGCCTGTTGTATGAATGTTGCCCGGGATCTCGCACGATATTCTTTGTGGTAAGTTCATATATAACATCTGGAACATCTACAGGGCGTGTTCCTTTATCTATTAAAATAGCAGCCAAACCTAGAAGAAAAATTATTAAAAAATCAAAACCATTTGTTTCCTTAAATTAAACCAAAATGGAAAAATATAGATTAAAATGCAAGCAATGCGGAGGTTGACCTTTGCTATAACATGACCTTATTTCTACCCCTCCATTTATACTCCTACTTTTTGCTTTACACCGGGTCATTGACGGGTGGTTGACCCTCTGAGACCTTGCACTGTTTAAAGGTTAAGGTTATTCATTTATATTGCGCAAAATACGAGAGTCTATGCGCAGAACACTTTTACCACCACACGTTGTAATTTCACAATCCTTACGTTGTGAATAACAAACGTATTATTAATTAACAATTAAATGATAAAATAAATAATAATTTATTTGGAAATGTTAAGCTCATAGATATGAGCTATATAAATATATAATAATAATAATAATAATAATAATAATAATAATAATAATAATAATAATAATAATAATAATAACCAACAGAACCAGAATTAAATAGGCCTAATTAAGACAACTATTACGGTGTTGTCTTGTTGTCTCAAACTTTAAATTAAAGCCAACAAGTCTATTTATACAACGATGATGAACAGTAAAACAAAAGAAGAAATTGTATTTTCTATACCTGAGACGTGAGGTGTTGACATTGATGTTCCGGATTTGATGCGTGTCCCATTATTAGATGCGTAATCTAATGATTCGATATATCTGCCCGGTGCAAACATATTCACACCTATACCATAGTTTGAGAAATATGCTCTGGTGTCATTTATGTCCGTTGCTCCAACTGTGATAGCCTAGAAAACAGTATAATTACCGTACTTCATTTAAGCTGCAACTATAAAACCCTCAATGTTCCAGGTAAATCTCTTATTTAATTATCTGAGGAACATTTTAAGTATTTAAGAAATGTTTGTATTTATATCATTGCTGTTCAAACACTTAGTTATAAGCTGCCTTAATTATAACTTAATTACCATTTCTATCCGTCTAAGGTGCCTGAACAATACTAATTGGCAAGCTCAACTTACTTCATATGCTCTTGCAGGCGATTTTAAGCAAGCATCATCGTCGTCGTTGCCAGCAGACACCACAACTACAAAGCCAGCATCGAACAGTACCTTGACCATTTCATCTTGCGCCTGTGATGGTGAACCTCCAAGTGACATGGACACCACGCCTGGTGCTGTTCCGTTCTCCAGTACGTAGTTCATGGCTTTGAAAGAAAAGGACAATAAGGTCCTTAAAATCGATAAAAATGTTCTATTCAATAAAACATGGGTGTTGGCGAAAGGTCCCAAAATCTTGTTATCGGCAAATAAATTATTTAAATGCTTTGTTAATCAAAAATCTACTTTACTATTAAGAAAGCAATTAACTTCTTTTTGGTTTCTTGATTCTCGATCAACACTGTCGACCTGCTGTCCTTACGTACAGGTCATATACCGGTACATGTTACTCTTGATGAGAAAGGAGGAAACTGTTTAGTGGTTTAGTAAGATTTGGCATGAGAAATTGTTCATACTTGACCATTGTATAGATAGTTGTTTTCATGCTATAATTTTGAGCTTTCTTGCAAACCGTGTTGGTGATGATCTTCTTCTGTTTTTTCTACCTGTTCCGGTGTGCCACAATGATCTGCTCTTGGTCCTTCTCTCGACCTTTGGTAAATCCATTAATAATGATACTATTAACAATCTATAATGGGGCTGTGATTGGCTTACCAATTTGTACCACAAGAAAAGCAATTGTCACTGTCTCGCTTTTGAGACCTTAACTTTCCTGGTGTCTCTGTACGTTTGATGAATTACCTGCATCAGATGATAATTGTATTCTTGGCATTTACATTAACTCTTAAACTATGTTGGGGTATTCTAAATTGTGTTTTCATCCAAAGATCCGATAGAAATGATACCCATCGAATCTAATGACGAAAATATCATTTAGAATAGCATTGCAGTACCCGCTACTAATTGGGGATCGCCAATGAGTACGAGCTTAGCGGTTTAGTGGTAAAGACACTAGGCTGGTTATCTGGTGGTCGTGGGTTCAATTCCCTCCCGATCCACTTAGTCCATTAGTAGAGCAGCTAAGAGCCGAAAAGGCCAAGTTGTGCATTTTATTACATTAGCGTGAAACTTGGCATAAAATATCTAAATATGTGTAGATTCAAAAACAGTTGTGTGCTAATTTTGAATTTAAAATGGCCGCCTACTAAAAACTAGATTCTGATATCTTGGCAAGAAAAAATTATAGACATACTTTGGTCTCCGATTTTCCGGAACATATGTTTCTATTTGCAGTAATGTAACATTTTGTCAAAATGACTGCTCTTTGACCTTAAATAACTAGCATATCAAAATCTTCATACATCAGAACATGCGGTTTCTATATACTTAATGAAGTATTTTGTCTAACAGTGACATTAGTTACCTTAAAACATCTTCCAAATTTGCTTAAAGTTTTACTCTAAAATTGCTGGATGTAGAGACATGATTAGGATCTCATATTATATAATATTGATAATATCGAAAATGCTTATTTTGATTTTCGACCATAATAATCTACTAAAATTTAATAAAATCTACATAGAAATATCATTTTAATTGTCTTGAATTGCTGAGGTGGAGACCTCAAGCACGACTAACTTGGGTAATAAATAAATAAATAAAGACAATTAATATTTGCATTCCATATTTTGGACTAGCGCCAAATACAGTTGCAATCACCTAATAGATTGATTAACTGATTGCTTGATTGATACACAGAAAAATTTATTTTGAAAGCAAAATATTACCAGCAATGGTGATGGACTTCTTTCCCTTGCCCTCACAGTTAAAAACTCTTAAACTGTACAGCAGCACTCCGGGAGCGACCCCGTAATGCATGCTGCCGATTGTACCAGCACAATGGGTTCCGTGGCCACTGCAGTCAGTACCCTACAAAATACAATTATTACATTACCAACTATTAAAGTGTATACAAAAACACTGTTTTTTATTCGTCAATATTAGAGAAATGGTGGTTGAAAAAGTAATCAAACCTAATTTCATTCTTATAATATAAGTGGATTTTGAAAGTTAAAATCTTGAGTTAAAATTAACACCTTTTGAACTTACAAGATGTTATTTAGTTGGCCTTTGAAATGCAAGTACTGTACAAAACAATCACGATTGGATTTCATTTCTTTATGTGGCATAGTAAAACATGTACAAATATTTTTTTTTGACATCAGAATATAAGAATTCAATCTTTTAATGAATTTTCAAAAACTCAGTGCTTCGAAGTTCGTCGGTAGCAATATCCTTTAAATGATCGTGTAAACGGTCTAATCATATTATTTTGTGAAATGTGTAGTTTAAGTTTAATGAAATTACTAATTCCACAGTACCATGAGAAGGAGGCACAATCGAACATACATTTAACAATGGATGAACAGAGAAGTCTACGACTTTTGACAGATTAATAAATTGTGTTGCCGGTAAAGAAATTTAAGTCTATTATTAATCTTCTTTATAATATCATATGCATTGTTAGAAAATGTTAAATAAAAATTTCAATTCCGAGATATTCAACTGAGTTATTACACTCTATAAATCTGGTGGTAGCCACTGTGTGTGCGCTGAACCGTGGAGATCTCTAGGTCGCCGGTTCAATTCCCATCGCTGCCTCTCCTTGTGTTTCAGCTAGAGGGCTGAAATGCAAGTTACAATAGCGCACCGTCTTTCGAATGAGACGTTTAAGCCGTTGGTCCCGTGTGCATTTATGGCTCAATTGCACGTTAAAGAACACAGTACACTCTTCAGAAAAGTGTAGGGGATTGTCTCCCGGTGTACTGTCCAATCACCACCAGAAGGACCCCACTGGCAATATGTCTTCTTCTAGACTTTTGTGGGCTATCCTTGGTGTTTTCACCAAATAAATCCAAACTGATGCCCTTGACGCAATCACATTAGTTTTTAAGTTTTTCTTTTGGATGCAAAAATATACATTCTGTTTTAGTAAGGTTTACAGTTAGTTTATTATCGACGAGCCAGTCATAAAGTGCATCGAGGGAGTTCTCCGCTTGGTAGAGATGATGTTGGGATCATGGTGACTAAAGACAATAGCACTTGTCAATGCAACTAATCATGTTGTTTACGTAGAAAAAAAATAGGGGAGCTAGGATACCCCATAGTTCTGTTGTGCTCATATCTATGTAAAAATCTCATTTTATAAAAAAATTAATATAATTTAAACCAGTTAACAGATTTAATTCCAATGAGTTTAAGCTTTTCACATAGAATAAAGCGACTGAGTGTGTCGAAGGTTTTCTACAGTTGAACCATCCCTGAAAGCATTCTATTAGAGAATTTGGTCTTTAGGGTTGAAAATGCAGCTCCAAAATCTGATTAATACTCTTACAATATATTATTTTCAACAAAATAATTTTCAACTTGGGTATAAACAGCCTTTTATTATCCTTTTGACATTGAGCTTAATATGCCGGGAGTTTTTTAATTGTATTCTAGTTCTTTTCTTCTTCTTCGTGAATTTCATCTGGTCAGAGGGACAGTATTAATTTAGCGTTGATATATTCCCAATTTGACAATTGAGTCTTAAGGATTTCTGCTCCATCTTTGAGAAAACGTGGGGCACTCCGTCAATTTAATTAATTAAGGACAACATTCTCATCAACTGTTTTAAGTTTTTTTTGTAATTTCCAGAAAGATTTTTATACAAACTCTTTATACTGTGCGACGTACACTCCCTCCACTAAAATGTTTCTTGAGGAGGGAAGTTTGTGAATATTTTTTTTTAATTTTATATATATATATACTCCTAACTAACTCATAGGGTGAAAAATACTTTGTCTATATTTCTCCTTAACGTCGTTAAAATTTCCCCTTAGCGGCAGTATTTTCGCCTTAAGGTATTATTTCTAACTCTTACCATTGTTATCGTTTCCCCCATGGTAGTATATAGTCGTAGGTATCGTACAAGATAATCTAAAAATTATGTATTCCAAATTATACTCATTCTCAGATAAATACACTATCCTCAACGACCATCAACTTGGGTTTCGTGAAAACCATTCAGCATCTGATGCCATTACGGATCTTATCTCCAACATTACGACGGCATTGAAAAAAAAAAGAAATTCTTAGTCAGTGTGTTTACGGATCTTTCTAAGGCCTTTGATGTTATTGATCATGATATTTTGCTTAAAAAGTTGCATTACTTTAGAACCAGAGATATTGCTTAACATTGGTTCTCTAGTTACTTAAGCTCTAGGAAACAATACGTCACTATGAACTCATATGAATCAAATCTCACAAGCATAACGTGTGGCGTACTACAAGGGTCAGTTTTAGGCCCATTGGTGTTTCTAATTTATGTTAACGATATTCAGTTGGTTAGCAATGTACTTAAAACTGTCTTTTGCTGATGACATGACTGTTTTCCTATCAGGAGGTACCGGGTAATCTTGATAAGCTGTTAACGCACATAAACAATGAACATGTAAAGGTGTTTGATTGGCTCAGCATTAACAAACTATTGTTAAATATTACCAAAACTAAGTTAGTAATTTTCCGTCCAAATCAGAAGAAATGCCCTGAAATTGACAGTTGTCTTAAAATCAATGGTAAAACAATAGTTCAACGGAAAGAAGTCAAAAAGTTTTTTTCCTAGGAATATTTTACTCGCTCTTTAATGTAATTGTAATTGTAATTTTGAAAATATCATAGTTGGAAGTGACTATCATAAAAAAAAAAACCTTGTTAAAGTATATAACCTCCAAAAACGTATTATCCGTATAATTACATCATCACCATATAGGTGCAATGCTGAGCCACTGTTTCATCAACATAATCGTCTGAATAATAAAGTACAAGTAGGATGATTTATGTATGAACTGTTACTAAAGATGTTTAATGATCTATTTCAGTACACAGGTAATGTTCATAACTATCGGACAAGACAATGTAATAGGCTTCGTATTCTGTTTGTTAGGCTGACTAAAAAAAAAAGCCAATTCTCAATCTGTGCCCATGGCCCGCATGTATGGAACGATATTGATAGTAAACTAAAAACATCAAATACTCTTATGACTTTTAGAAAACTCCTAAAAAAGGAAGTTATTTCAAATTATCTTTTTTGTTTTTTTTTTGTTTTTTTTGTTTTTTGGTTATTTGTTTTGTAATTGGTGAAATAAATGTCACGTTGATATATATATACATATATATATGGCCGTTTGCAGTTTTATGGGTTTTTCCCATTTTCCTTTCAAATGCCCAAGATTTCCATGTTTTGCAATTCGTTCCCCACCCCACCCCCCTCCACCCACAAACACACTTTCCACTACAGATCGACGTAACTGTATTATTTCGGAAATTCCCAATTGGCCAATTCCAAATAACTTGTTACTAAACTAAATTCAACTGAGTTACTTAAATTTTTTATTATGCGAGCATTCTACAGTATTACACAAAGCTGCGTTAACATTACACCAACTTTATTTTATTTTATTCCATTTAATTCTTCTTTTCCCTGGGTGACCTGATCACTGCAAAAACATTTGACTCAAGCCCTGGTCAATGGATGAAACAAAGGCGATCATCAGTCCTGACAGGGCGTGGAGTCACTCTAAAGATGCTGATGGATGATCATATAGTTGAGCGTGCAAGGGATTCCTGTTTTTTTTTGTTTTTTTTTATTTATTTATTTTTTTTTTGCATTTACCTCAAACACACTACTACTAAACTAAAATTCCGATCGATTAAATATACCATATAATGCAAATTTAGGATTCATGTGATACTACACGCTAAAAGTAATGATAAAAGTAACCGTAGACTCACATTTTCTCCTGTGGCATCAAACCAGTTTATAGCACGTCCACCAAATTCTTCATGGTCAACGTTGATGCCAGAATCAATTACGTAAACTGGAATGTCTGTGCCGGTACCTGAGAAAAATCAATTTAAAAAAAGGAGTTGAATAAAATAAGCAGAAGCATTTCTAATAGACCTAATTCATTTATTATTATTATTGTTTTTAAAAATCTTGATATATCATCAGACCTGATGTTACCGTCAATATTGACGAGAGGCGGCCACAAAGTATTTAATTAATAAGCAGACTTTTGAATGTAATTTTTTTTTCTCTCTCTCTCTCTCTTCCCAATGCCATTTTTTTTGACATATTTAGTTGGGAGGGGGCGGGCCGCCTGGGCCTCCCTTGAATCCGCCACTGTCATCTGATTCTGAACGCATAGCAATGGGAATTTGAAAATTTTTCTGCAACACAATTGTACCTGCTCTATTCATCAGTACACTGTTATCACAGATCCTATACATAATATGGTTCCGAGAATTAAATGGCGGATATAACATAAAAAAAATAAACTTCTATTGTGATATGACAACATAACCAGGAACGGATCCAGCGGGTGGCCACGAGGGCCCGTTTTTTGTTTTTGTTTTTGTTTTTGTTTTTTTTTTTTGTTTCCCTATTTGTTCTCTTATTAAGCCTAAACCTTTAATAATATACCGTAATGAATGTGGTTGATCCGGGCACTACTACGGACTGTGGGTTCAGGTTTAGAGCTCTGCGACTCCCAGCATAGAAAAAGCTATAGGTCCCCCGTGAGGGAGGGTTGTCAAGGGGAGGGGAGCATCGGGAAAAATGTCAATAATCCTGTCGAGGAACCCTGTTCTTAAAAACATTTTTACAGTCTAAGAGTGCCATTTCCGGGCGTCTAGAGGTGTAAATTCTGAAATTATGGTGGACCTTAAGTCGGCGTGCTCTCCCTCCCCTTCAAAAATTCTTGGATACCCTAATAACGAGTGAGGCTAGTATAGAAATACTATTTTTTACTTCATTACTAAAAAAAAAGGATAAATATATCTTAAAGTCTCGAATTTTCGAAAAGAATATTGAAAAACTTCATTTAAAGTGGGCGGCCAACCTCACTTGGTATAACAATTTGCACGCTCATTGAAAAAAAAAATGATACTGATACAATGAAAAATATTCACTATTAACGACAAACGTATAGTGCATATTACCATATGCCTGAAAAACACCATCTAGTGGCAGTTGACGCTGGTCAACGCGATCTAGACCCCAAGTTACCGATGGCTCTGTGGTCGACTCCTCCGAATCGTGCTCAATATACTTCACCATGTTTAGTCTCTTGACCTGCAATAAGTAATTCGTCGTTATAACCCGTATGTGGTAATATTAATTATGATAATAATATGAATAATAACTATCGAAATAGTGTTGTTGATGATGCTAATGGTGATAATACACCGACTTTATAACAACCACAAATCCAATGTTCAAAATACCAAATTAATAAACAACATGAACACAAACCATGTCACAAGTACGTTTTTAGCCACTTTAAATTGTAGGAGCTAGGCTAGTTGAAGTTCTAGTTCGAAGTTCTACTATAGTTCGTTTTAAGAATACGGGCGTTAGACTAGGACTCCGATTCTGGCCTTGAGGTTCGTGGGCACTTAAGGTGGCAGCAGATCAGGATTTGGTCGTAACTGTCTTGATTTTCGTTTCCTCTTCCCTTCACGCCGAAAGGCCCTGTCTTTGTTATTAGAAAGCTCCCTGTTGGCTTTCTAACCTTTGACATCGATTCGTTAAGTTAGCTTTTAGGGTTTCTTGGCCAAATAATTTGATTATGGAAGATTCACCTCCGAAATCCATCCCAAAGCTGTTCCTGCATACTAACGGCGATGAGGAGAGTTGGCTCAACACAAAGTGTTCCATATCTTCTACAGTTGTTAACCACGTTAAGTTTTGGACCAGTCTGATTTATATCAATAGAAAATGGTTGGTTGAAAGATAACTTGGGTCTTCATGGAGTTGATGGCGAGTCCAAGTTGCTTGTATGCACGGATAAAGGCCGTCAGTTTCTGTTGCAGGCGTGTTTCGGGGGGAAAGAGAGAGAGAGATGGAGAGCTGTACCACAGTTGCCGTCTGCCTATTGAATTTCGAAATTCGATGAAGAACTTGTAGATACCGTGGTCTTCGACGAGAGCAAGTTTAAAACGTTTACCATCTGTAGATTATTTCAATCCCTGGGAGTAGTTCATCATTAGTGATGTGAGTGATTTGTTGAAATGAAGATGGTGAACAGTGTTGGAGCAAATCATAGATCCCTGTCTGTATTTCCAACATTCATCGGAACCAGTGTCAGCATGTTCGTTTTGAGTTTGGGTTGTCCATTAACGTTCATATAATCCAGCTTCCGAATTTCGTACTGCAGTTTAAATTTTTAATGTTTTAAGACCGGATGAATGGTGATCCCTCTGGATGCGACTTTCCATGCAGGATAAGGTGAAGCAGACTATTTTTGGGACGCCTTTTCTAACCGCTTCCCAAATCAAAGTGAGCAGAGTGGATCTCAAACGGGGCTGCTCAGAACTGAACACTGCTGCCGAACAACTTTCTCGCATCTGTTGTAAAGGTGAGCGACTGATTCAATTATTTACCTACTCCTCTCGCCCTTCCCCGGTCATCGAAAGATTTATTGTGCTGGTCCACACAAGCGAAGACGCTTATACGTGTTTTTGAATTACGTGTACTTGTGCTTGTTGCACTCCAAAGAGCACATGGTCCTTTACAAATCAGCCAACTGATTCCAATGGTAAGTTAACCAGGACAATCGGAGTTTGTGGCAGCCTTTGTCCGCAATTACAGCCAATAAGTTGAGGCCTGATGTCCTATCCTATAAGTATTTCTATAGGAATTAGTATAAAGTCAGGGCACATCCACACGCCGGTGGGCCATGCGCCAAATATCTTCTATGGGATTTCTGCTCCTCCGTAGCCCTTTCCACATTAGTTTTGCCGCTCGCAAGCCAGCTACTTACAGTGGATACCAACAAGAATGATGTGGGTAGGGCTTTCAAAAAGAGACGCTTTAAATTTCCATGCGGAATAACTATATGATATGTGCCAGAACCAGTTAAAGGAGAAATATAAAATTTTCACGAAAATGGAGTGAATATATAACGATGGATAGAGAAAAAATTTAACTTGTGGGAACACAAGGCAAGGTCACTTATCAAATTTGTTTACTTTACCCCTCCAATACATTGCGTATAATGACATAAATAAATAATATTAATGGAAAATATTCTACTTACTAAAAATGAACATTGATAAAAATAATAACGATAATGACTTACAATACTGACTTGCTGGTCATCCAAGTCGATGATGACGCCCGGTAACCTTCCTCGAAGTATATTAACTGGTTCCACTGTTAAGAAATTTTGATGAAGAATTGCAACAAACGTGTCTGGGTCTGCGTCATTCTAAGAATAAAAATGTAATATTCTTCAAGTATCGTGGTGAAAAAAATGTGGCGGTGAGCATTTTGTATTTTATTAGATTTTATTAATCAATTTAAAAACACATTGAAGAAAGTTTAAAAAACCTATTTGATACTTTTCATTTTGTTGTTTGTTACGTGTAACTAAGTATGCTACCTTTCCTCTAAGTTACGAATATAAATTATAATACAGAGAGTGTAATATGTCTGTGCTTGTAATAGGCCTAATGCCACTTTCAGCAACACGAATCCATATAAAATAGACCAATTACTCCTACCTAGTCTGTGGCACCTCCCAGGTACCAGCCAAAGAAATATAATATGTTGACTTTAAGATGTATAGAAAAGATAAAAATATAAAAATCACAGAAGCTTAAAATTGCAATCAATAATAAATTTCTCACAAGAACACTATTACAATGCAAAACAAATTAAAATTGTCCCGCTATGAAAAAAGCCCTTTTCTTGTGGTCAATATAGCTGGGTTATCCTCTTGATGCCGACCTTAGCTAAGGTGGTCAGAAGAAAAGTTTGGCTTGCAGACTCTTCAAATGGAATCAATTTCAGGATATTTTTTCTGTGATCAGTGAAACTTTTTTCTTTCAGTTCCCCCCTTGGTTTTGGGCTAGATATACTGTGCCATTCACTTTACTATTGAACGGGAGAATAAATAACTCTTATAACCAGACACTATGACGGTTCCCTCGGCTTTAGCGTCTATCAGAAGAGCACTCACACTGATAATACCTGCACTTTGAAAGCCACTAATCTCTCGAACACAAATTTAAGCGTTATTAGAACTCTTAACACCCTTAAACACTGTGAAATGTAATTTCTTCTGATGCAGAAAGCTTGAACAAAAAGCTCGAATAACACAACAACCCCCTCGTTCTGCGGGCAGGCACTCGCATTGGACGTAGGAAATTGGCAGATTTTATATGAGCTTTTTTTGGCAGATCGTATGGTCTTTAGCTAAAGTTTTATTTGATTATATTAAATATTCCTCCTACAACTTTCCTAGCGCTTTAAAAAATATTCGTAAACAAAACATGATAATTTTTATGATAGGTACTTAATCAGTCATTTAATTTTATTTTTGTTTAACTGGTGGCAATGCTTTAAATACAAACTTATTTTATTCTTCCTACAGCATCGGTTGTTGTTCGTAATTTAGTAATAAAATAAGTATAGTTTATTATTCCCCTGATTTATTGTGTAAGCGGAAAAATACAATAAATAAACAAATCTTTTCCATTCTAGTAGACTTTACAAAGTTTTTGATGATACTGATCTGAACTACCCTTGCCTTTTATTGGTATGGATCTTCCCCTTCTATTGTGGACTTCCTTTCAAATAAGAAAAAATTCGATGGTCAAATACTTGAACATGTTTTATGAGTAGAAAACAACTACAGGAGAGGTCGCTCAGGACGCAACACTAACGTTCAGTATTTTTATGTGTAATTAGGAATGCTCTTTTATGAAGCAATGGGTCCCTGGCACCCCTGAGATCCAGGTATGTATGTGAATGACACTAGAAAGATAAAAAAAAAAAAGAGCTATAATTTATACTACTGTTTCAATTTTTATTTTTTAACTGAGTTAGTCCTACCTCGCAAGTGGACTATATTTCCTTCGTCAATGGTCCATGACCATCAAACTGAAACTCAACCCCCTTCAAGTGTAAGGTAATGTAGATTTATTTAGTCGGAAAAGGCTTCCAGACCTGAATCTTCATAATATATATTGTCAAATTTGTATTGTATTCCTATATTGTATTGTTTTAGGTAACTTTATTGTACGTATTGTATTATATTTTATCTTCTTGTGTGTGTTTATTGTATTTTTTCTTTGCAGGGCAATATTGTACAACAGCGTTACCATCTCGTCTGTATATGTTATCGTCCTTAAATATGTTTTACTAAATAAATAAATCGCAAGTTGTCATAAAAGTCTAATTCTCAAAAGTTATCTAATCAGATTTAAAGTGTTAGACAAAGTCGATAAAGTTAGCGAGGCAGTAAACTTTAAAAGGGAATATATAATAATTCCCAGTACAAAACAGGATCAAATTCAAGGGGCCCATCTGGCCCGGGATCAAGCTCACTTTTTATCCGTACAGTTAAGGCATCAATTATAAAGAGTGTAATTTTGGGTCATTTAGGTGAAGTTATAAACATGAATATGCAAAGCTGAAGTTTCTCGCCACAAGCAAAAGCCGAATAATACTGTACATTTGTTGTATGTGTACCATGAAAGTGGTTGAACAGTATATACATAATCAACGTATAGAATATTGTCCGTTTTGGTAAACGCAGTATTTAGAAATGTAGGCCTATACTCGCTATAGTTTACTGCCTATTATGGTAGGCCTACATCATTCTTTTTGGTAAACAGATTATGTGTTAAAGAAACTTGGTAAAATGGATTAAACTGGATTATCATAATACCTGTACAAAGTTTCATGTGACAAAGTTATATAATAATTTTAATCCCACTATAGGCCTATTCATTTATTGAAAATCCATCAATTTAAATATAGCAATAAATCTGTCACATATCCTAATATTAATACTACTACATTAATACTACGATATAATAGCTAGAGATTCAATATTAATAATATTATTAATAATAGCAAACTATAGTCTAAATTAAAGAAAATGTAATGATGTGAATTGAAGAAAAAAACAACCTAAAATTGTTAAATGACAGTAAATTATTTGTACAAAATCAAGATGGAAATGAAAAGGTGTAGAACTGAGATTAACTTATTATGTAATTGATATTTAAGCAAATGTTTATGATTTATTTTACACACTAAAAAGCAGAAAAAAAATGTTAAATCAAACAGGATGTTCATTGTTGAACTAAAATTAAGGTCTAATCTAAAGGAAATGTAATGATGAGAATTGGGGGGAAAAAAGAAGAAACTAAAAAGTGTTAAATGAAAATAAATTATTTGTAAAGAATAAGATGAAAATGAAAACATATAGGAAAACAGAGATTAATTTATTATGTTCTTATATTGATTTTATGTACATTTTTATCGTGCAATGATGAGAATAAAGGTGGCTTTGTCAGAAAGAGAGAAAAAAAAAGAAAAGAGTGGTTGAACTAGATAACGTTTACCATAAGTATGCGACTGCATGTAGTTGATCACAATTTTAGGAGGTCATTAATGTACTGTGTAGATGAATAATAGACTTCTACACGAAAAAAATAATAATAATAATTTTAATCCCACTATAGGCCTATTAATTTATTGAAAATCCAACAATTTAAATATAGCAATAAATCTGTCACATATCCTAATATTAATACTTAATACTACTGTAGGCCCTACTACAATATAATAGCTAGAGATTCAATATTAATTTATACATTGAAAGGCAATTATACGTGTGTTGATAAAATATATCGAGGTATAGGCCTACAGATATTAGTCTATTAATTATGTTTACAGTAGTAGTGATTCTCTAGTACCAGAGAGTGTCATTTCCGGATATCTAGGTGTTATAACCATACAATTTAAAGTCTCAGCCTCAAACATGGTGAGGCTCAGGAAGCCTCTGTATCTGCCACTGCAGAAGTGAAGGTTGAAAAGTAACCTACTTTCAAAATAATTATGTATCTGCTAGTAACAGACGACTCTGACCATTTTTCACCAATGATAACAGCGTTACCGTCTGTGCTCTTGCTGGAATAAATATCAGGACATCTAGTAGGTAGTATGGTTGTAGGTGGCAAACTGGTTACAGGATACGGCCTTGATGGGGTTGTTGGTTCCTCAGTTGGTTCAGGATCATTCCGATTACATGCACGGCATGTAACCATTAACATAGTTATGAGGCAAAAAATGAACAACTTCTTCATCTTTACAGGCGTGAACTCCTAACCAGTGATTAAACTCTGGGTAGCGCGACAGTTCACCTTAAACAATATTGTATTATCATCGACAACTATTTATCTTGTGACAGAGTTATTGTTCGCTGTATCTATTCAGGTGATTCAGGCTATATATCATTGCTTACTGATTGCTGGATAATACGTTGTCATAACAACACGCTTGATTACAGTTAGGTCTATGGCATATTGCGGATTAGATTACATAAAATGCAAAGTATATGAGGGGGCTAAATGTAGAACATAGTAAGTTAGAAGCTTGGAGAACCGCTATGTAACACCCTGTCCCTACTAATTTTTGACAATCAATGGAGCCGGCAACCAACATAAAATACATATTGGCAAAATAGTAATTCTGTAAATATGCACATCTTTGATATATGGTCTTTGCTTAGACAAAATTTTAGGAATATTTAAGCATTGTCAAAGCAAAACAAAAAAAAACAAAAAATATGACGTCTTCCTGCATATTTTCTATCTTAATAAACGGGTAATTAAATGTTTATGTATACACAATTTGCGTTTTCTAAAGCCTTTCAAACTAGCTACAGCTATGTTTAACACAAAATTACCGTGAAATGCATGACAAATTTTCGCCCTCTACTTAAAATTACGAAATACAGACATTGAAGTCAAAGTTCACTTGGTTCTTCATGGTTTCCAAGTTTCCAAGTTATTATAAGAATTATTATTATTATTACTGTGACAAACAACTTTTTTTATCTTTACTGGCGTGAACTCATAACTAGTGAGTCTGGGTAGCACAGTTAACAATGATATTTTATCACCATCATGGACAATCTTTATCTTATTGTGACACGATTTCTGCCAGTGTTATTGTTCGCTGTATGTATTCAGGTGATTCAGCTAGATATCAATGCTTACTGATTACTGAATAATACTGTATAATACAGGTACACACATAATAGGCCTATTTACTGTAATAAGAATGAGAAAAATTTCAAGAAGGGTAAACCTTGAATTTTGAAGAACTAAGTCAATAAAAGACACTTCAAAAGTCAGGAGAGCTCATTACCCGCCAGCTAGGAATCAAAATGTTCACAAAGAGAGCCCGGACCCCCTTTCTCTTTGGGGTTCATCGATTCATTAAATCGTTTCAAAAATTTCCCGCGGAACTATCCCCACCTCCTTTCGTTTTGTGGGTTTTTGGCAACATTTTTGACACCCCACCCACCACACACCCCGTATATTTCTACCCAAGGTTACATGGACAAAATACATCAACAACATCAAAAATAATTTTAAAAAGTCTTGGTATAATATTTAGATTATGCTCATTTTTACCTCTTATTCAGGAGCGAGTGGCGCCAGCAGGGGAACAGCGGGGGAGGGGGCAAAAAGGCAGATCCACCTCCCCTGATGTATTTTATACATATTAGTAGACCACAAAACCATTTAAAGAACCCATTGAAACCCCTAAAATGTTATATTTTTCGGGGGATCGCCCACTGAATACTTTCGAGAGATTTTGAGCGACGCCTGACCATGCCTACTTTTTTGTCGGGGACCTCGGGGGGGGGGCAATACGTTATCCAACAGCAAATTCTCCAAAAAAAGGCTATCAGGGATATATCAGGCCGTTCCACCACGGTCCTCTCATTTTCAAATTTATACCACTTAAACTTCCCGATATAAATAATTTCCAACAAGATACATTTTTATAATCTGCCATACATTCTACTCTCCCCAATTATCTAAGTAACATGTTCACCTTAATTCACTCCCATAAGTATATTGCACTCGATCTAGAAATGATAGTCATGTACCAAACCATAACACCTATTATTAAATACACTGCATTAATTTACCACTTCCAATTTTAAACTCAATGGCTGTGGGTACTTTTTCTAAGAATCCAAGGAATCGGTTAATTTTGCACTATTAAAAATATTTGTACACGGTAGCGACTCGACTTTGCTGCATTTTCAGTGTCATGTTTGCGAGTATTTTAGTGTTCAGGCCTGTCCAACACAAGTAACATCTATCTGGCATGTGCCTTCTTCCATTTGATTTTGTTCTTATCTTTAACAAATCAATATTAATCTATGTTTTATCTTTACTGTATTTTTTGTCTGCAATGGAAGAAAATAAATTCCATATTGAATTGAAATAATAATAATAATAATAGTAACAACAATAGTAATGATAATGATAGTAATGATAATGATAATGATGATGATAATGATAATAATAATAATAATAATAATAATAATAATGGTAAAAATATCGATTGTGATATAAATAATATTGAGCGATACTCTGTCATTGACAACTTAACCTAAGAAAGAATGTCAACAGTAGATACTATCCAGGCAACCATCTTGCACTATGTCCATACGTACTGTACGAAAACAATTATAGAGTGGTAATTCAGTCTTTATTGCTCTTGAAATATCATATGTACATAATATATTCTCACTCTATCATTAATTTTATACAAGATGAACAGTGACACTGAATAAGCAGACATATAATCATTCACTTTTTAAGACGGCAGTGACAAAAATAATTAAGCCTACAATATATATATATATATATATATATATATATTCTTGTAGGCCTATTATATTTTGAAAGATTTAAAAATATTTTTGTTTTCCTTTAATACAATTTTTAGTGCAAATGCTTAAGTAATTCTGCAGACGAACTATTTAAAATATTTAAATTGTTTAACGCATGGAGCATGTCCATGGTAAGTAACATTAGTCAAAAAAATACTTTGCTGTAAAACTACCACATGGCTAGTAGAGTTTCAAAAAATTAAAGGTTTTTTTTTTTTTTAGATTTTTGCTTACTTCCATTTAAACTGGATTCTGAGCTATTCTAAAGATATTCAATCACGTGGGGAAAACGTCATAATATTAGTCTACATAGATGTTTGACAAAACTTCAGTAGGTCGAGTCCATTCGGTTTGAATGGAATGGAAGAAAATAAATTCCATATTGAATTGAAATAATAATAATAACAACAACAATAGTGAAGTTTCTAATAATAATAATGGTAAAAATATCGATTATGATATAAATAATAATATTGAGCGATACTCTGTCATTGACAACCTAAAAAGAAAGAATGTCAACAGTAGATATTACACAGGCAACCACATTGCACGAAGTCCATACGTACGAAAACAATTATAGAGTATTAATTCAGTCTTTATTATTCTTGAAATTTCATATGTACATAATATATTCTCACTCTATCATTAATTTTATACAAGATTAACAGTGACACTAAATAAGCAGAAATATAATCATTAACTTTATAAGACGGCAGTGACAAAAATAAGTAAACCTACTTTAACCTCAATCTATTATAAATATATATATATATATTCTTGTAGACCTATTTTATTGTGGAAAATTTAAAAATGTTTATTTTGTTTTCGTTTAATACAATTTTAGTGTGCAAATGCTTAAGTCTAATTCTGCAGACGAACTATTTAAAATATTTAAATCGTTTAACACATGAGGAGCATGTCCATGGAAAGTAACATTAGTCAAAAAAATACTATGTTGTAAAACTACCATTTGGTTCAGTACAGTTTCAAATGTTTTTTTTTTCAGATTTGTGCTTACTTCCATTTCAACTGGTTTCTGAGCTATCCTAAAGATATTCGGCATCTGGAGGTTGAGTCCATTCGGTTTGAGGATCACTTCAGCAAACTAAATTGCTATAGATCCCTCATAGATGTCCCTATTGTTGTCAATCGAGGACGAACTTCCTCAGAAGTTTCATAGGTGTGGTGCACTTCATTATCGACTACGGACAGACGCACGTCATACCCGTCCTGGCCGGAGAAACCTTCGTTTGTGAACGTTACAGTTTGACGAGTTCTGATTAAAAACAAATGAAAAAAAAACATATATACAGTAAAAAAATATAAACAAACAAATACAAAACTAAATATTAATTTGGCACAACTTATATTTTAAAAGGTCAGTGCTTTAATAGGTCAAACCATCAAAATTGTCTTGCAGTTTGTTAACAGTTTATTCTGGTATATTTAAAAATATAAAAAATTAATATATATTTCTTAAACTATTGTGGTACAAACATACATAAACTACAAATGTAATCTAAAATATTTAAGAACATCTTAATTTTTTTATTCTTTTTAAATAACATCACAGACATCAAACATCAACCACTGACACATGTACATCATTAATAAAATCATTAACACTAACATTAAAACAATATCCAAACATTTAAGCGAAAAGAATATATTTTTTTTAAATACACCGAATAATTTTGGCAGTAGGCACACCGATCAAGCTTTTAAAAAAGGGCACTTACCTGTCCTGCTTTGTGTATAAATGAACGGTGACAATGGTATTCTGGATGATGGAAATGATATTTAAAACGACCAACACACCACCAATTATTAGAAGCGATTGGTATTCATCTACAAATCGAAACAGTTAAAACAGTTTATAGTAAAATATGTAGACAATGAGGTAGATGTTATCAACAGAATCTACTAAGAAAGGCAGTTGAAATCGGTGATGTAAACTTCGCTTATATGATTGTTAGTCTTCGTGAATTAATTAAAATAATCTATTCCTAACCGTGAACTTCATCTATCTGAAGTTTATCCGAGACTTGTTTTTCCGTGGTCTGATCTAGTCTTGTTGTCGCTGCCGACATTGTTGAGAGCTGAACAACATGACCTTGCGCATGATTACGTTCTACATCGAGTATAAACAAAACAATGTTAATTCATAGATATATGTATACACCTTCGACATCTATATCTCTTAGACCAATCCAAACACTGTCTCTTATACACATCTTGTTGATATTTGAAACTTAAGGCTATTTGATGCCGATAACAAGTAATGTCGCTTTTACATTGGCCTACTAGCTTTCAATTTTAACAAGACGTAGCCGGTACACATGGACCAACTCCTTGGTAAAGAAACAGTGTAGTTTCAAATATTTATTAGAATAGACAGAAGCTTTTGAGACAAAAATTTAAAATTTAGTAAAAATGATGCCATCCTAACCATGTAAAATAGGTATTCTCCTTGTCTGATCTATATTCCTTTCTGTGGTTGCCGACATTGTTGAAAATTCAGCAACATGAACTGTACCGGTATGATTACTTGCTGCATCTAAAATTTAAAAAAATTAAATCTGAGATTTTTTGGAAACAATAAATTAACATACACATAACACACATTTATTTATTATTGTAATATAAGTTTGCTATATTTATCATTTTTTACTACAGATAACACACATTTTATTATTGTATATAGGTTTGCTATATGTCAGTACTGTTTCAACAAATATTAGTAAAAATTATTATTATTATTATTATTATTTTTATTATTATTAATATTTTTTAAATAATATTAATAAGCCTTACCGTTGTAAGTACCTATGATTTTCTGAGTCAGTAAACAATAGTTTCGATTTTTGTCTCATTTTAGAAATTAATTATCTTTTAAATAAAATCTTTAATTAATTTTTCTTTAAAAACGGATGTTCATACGAGTTAAAAAGTGACCATAGTCGGGAAGAATCGTACGTCAGAAGTACAATTAAGTTGTTAAGCCAAAAATAAAACAAAGCGTACATGAAGCAGTGACAATGAACGAGCAGTTTTCAGACGGATTGCCAGCTCTATCATACGCAGTATACCTCACTATTATAGATGCATTAAAGAGACCATTTGGTATAGACATTACGTAACCAGGAGAATGCGATTCGGCTACATATACTACACATTCATTGTCTGTCCAATAAGGAGGTGTCCATGTTACTGCTGTAGAAGTTTCATTCAGGGGAACAAGCACCTTAACGTCGCTTGGACAAGATGATCCAAATGTTGGCATCTCTTCATCTTTAACTGTAATATTGATCACAACCAAGTATCTTAATGTTTTGTCAGTTGTTATTTGTAAAATGCAAAATGTTTGAAGATCATTAATATAATTTAAATTTAAAAAAGTAATGATGTATTCCGAATGCCAACCGTAGCAATTCAGTAGTTGGAAATATTGATTTGGTGGTAAATTCTTATGATACTGAATCACAAATAAATACTTACATATTTCGCATACGTAACCCATTTGAGAACTACAACGCATGTCATTCCAATGCTCTGATTTGCTGTAATCAAGTTCAACACAGTCCTCATTTCCAACATTGTTTGGTTCACCAACGTTAAAATCTATTGAAATATTGTGAAATAAAATACTACTTTTATGTTATTTATTCTAGGTCTACTACTATTCAAAGTTATAATAAGGCTTTTTTTCTGTTTACAGTTAGCATTTTTAATATACGATATATTTAGTAGAAACCATGATTACGATAAACATTACAATTATAGTGAAAAATACAACACTTACTCGTATAGTTAGAACATTCGCCAGATTCTATCCAAACCCATACACCTTCGACATCTATATCTCTTAGACCAATCCAAACATCACTATGAATAAGTGTGGAATGAAGAAAGTTGCTCTCAGCAGCGTCTTTGACCACGACCAAATCTGATCCTAGGCTGATACAGTTAGCCCTGGCTTGTTCCCACGTTTGGGTGTTCGAAAAGTATTTGTAGCAACTATCTTTATATTCAGTCCATCCAGCTTCACAAGTTATACAAACGGCTATAAAGGAATATTACAAAAATAGATTCAAATTTTAGAGATAGTATGTTCAATTTATGTTTTAAACATATTTTATTATAATGCTTTTTGAAAAATAAAGTCTACAAAATCGCATATAATATTGCTTAAAATAAATAGGCCTAGGACTACGTCACATATTCAGTTCACTTATCATACAAATAGACAAATCCTACAAACACACTCTTTGGCAGATGTATTAGAAGGGGTCCCTCCAACTACGACTTAGCATTTCACTATGAAGGTTTGATCAATAATGTAATGCTTGCGTGCTTTCTAAGGAAACACTTGGTGGAAAGTCCAAATGAGCAACCGGAGAGTCTCCACTCACTACTACTGAGCAATCTAATACAACGCTTTCGACAATACGGTACATATTTTCTTTTAATTTGTAAATTCCATCCACCTTAGAATCCGCCTCCGCCCTTAAATATTGCAATAAATGAAGAATTAAATACATTATTATCCATCATAGTTAGTAGGCCTATTATGAAATACATGTAAAGATATTATACATAACATGTTATGATAGATTAATGTCCTAATAATTCGGATGATAATCTATTGCACCTTTAAATAACGATGGTCATTTTATTAGCCTTAGGTTTCAGGGCAACAAAACTCGTGGTATGGCAGTGACACTTTATTTAAACAATCAAGAAATTTAGTTACCCAAACGTCTTTATATTTTGTATTTTCAAACCTAGTGTATTATACCTGAAGAAAAAGTGATCCAGAAGTCGTAGGCCTACAATTATTACGGGGAAAGTAATTTTTTTGTCCGTCTTTGAATTGTTATAGTGTTAATAGAGCCTATTATTAAATGTTGGAATGGTACCTTATGGAATATAACCAGGGACAGATATAGAGATGGAGAAAGAATTTAGTATAGAAATGCTTGAGGAAATAGACACTGATGGAATTTAAATCGAAAATTAGCTGCTTTTGGTGTAGGCCTAACATCATGCTCCTCTCTTTCTGGAATTTCTTCTCTGTTTTTTGGGGTTGGGGATAGCTCCCGTGCTCCCTGAATCCGCTCCTGATAGCGATTGATTGAATGATTGTAAAGCTAATTTGCAACTTGGATAAATACAATCATGATTAAGCATGTAACATACGCAAATGATGATTTATGCATAGACCTAAAATATAAAAGGCCGTAGCAAGCAAAATTACAGTATGACCGGACTCAGCACACGTAACCACACGCACCTACACTCGTAAATGATAGCGTATTTTATAAGTAGGCCGAATATATGAAGATGACTACCAGGAAAAAAGAAGTTAAAATTATTTTTGGACTTTTCAAACATGCCCTTCTAAAGAATAATTATAATTGATGTGATTCATGTTAATTTTCACAGATCTGACGTGTCTTTCAAAAGACAGTGTACCGCAAAGTACGCTGTACCGCATCAGAACACAAATTACACTTCATTGCATATATTTTCAAGTACAGTTCGTCCTCCAATTCCGGTCTCGAATTAGGTGCACTTTCCAACCATGTATGTATGTATGTATGTATGTATATGTGTGTATGTATGTATGTGTGTATGTATGTATGTATATGTATGTATGTACGGGTGTATGTATGTATATATGTATATGTATGTATGTATGTATGTAT